GGAATTGCTGGGGGAGGCTTTATGCTTGTCCGTTCACCAAACGGCACATATGAGTTTATTGACTTCCGCGAGACAGCTCCAGCCGCTGCCTTCGAGGACATGTACAAGAACAATGAGATAGCTAGTGAGAGGGGCGGTCTTGCATCTGGCGTTCCAGGTGAACTTCGTGGGCTGCAGTATCTTCATGAAAAGTACGGCCGCCTCCCATGGAAAACCGTCATCAAGCCAGCCGTCAAGGTCGCTGAAAAAGGTTGGAAGGTCAATGAAGATCTTGTTCGGTATATGGCTTCTGCTTCAAACAACGGAAAGGACAACTTCTTCGTTAACGACAAGGAGTTTGCGATTGATTTTGCTCCCAAAGGCCGTCTTCTCCAGCTCAACGAGACCATCACGCGAAAGCGCTATGCCAAAACGCTCTCAATCATTGCAGAGCAGGGCCCTGACGCATTCTACAAAGGACCGTTGGCAGAAGCCACGATCCGCGCTCTCCAAGCCTCCAATGGCACCATGACGCTCGAAGACCTAGCAAACTACACCGTGGCCATCCGCAAGCCCTCGGCCATCACCTACGGAAACTACAAACTCACGGCCTGCAGCGCACCCTCAGGCGGCAACGTCGCCCTCGCCGCCCTCAAATTCATGCAAGGCTACTCGGGCGTTGGCGACCCCCTCAACGCAAACCTAACCACGCACCGTCTCGACGAAAGTATGCGCTTCGCCTACGGCATGCGCTCAGAGCTCGGCGACCCATCCTTCGTCAAAGGCCTAGACACATTCCAGCAGCAAATGCTCTCCAACGCCACAGCCGCCGAAGTCCGCAGCAAGATCATCGACGACAAAACCTTCCCGGTAGCCTACTACAACCCATCTGGCCTCGAATCCCTCGAAACACCCGGAACAAGCCACGTCGTCGCCGCCGACGCAAGCGGCCTCGCAATCTCCCTCACCACAACCGTCAACCTCCTCTTCGGCAGCAAACTCATGGTCCCGGAAACCGGCGTCATCATGAACAACGAAATGAACGACTTCAGCATCCCAAACACCACAAACGCCTTTGGCTACATCCCCAGCCCCGCAAACTTTATTCGCCCCGGAAAACGCCCTTTATCCTCCATCGCACCAGTCATAGTCGAGCACCTCAACCTCGCAAACGTAACAAACGCTTTCTACATCGCCATCGGTGCGGCGGGCGGTTCGCGTATCATCACTGCCACAATCCAGAATATCATTCACATGCTTAGTGGTAATATGACGACGGCCGAGGCGCTGGCACAACCCAGGTTCCACGATCAACTTGTGCCGGCCCAGGTGAGCTTCGAGTATGCGTTTGATAATGCTACCACGGCGTATCTGCAGCAGATTGGCGCTAATGTGACGTGGATGGCGCCTGGCAGCAGTAGTGCGCAGGGTCTGAGGTTGTTGCCGAATGGCACGTTTGAGGCGGCGAGTGAGCCTAGGCAGAAGAATAGTGGTGGTTTTGCCGTTTAGATGAAACAAAAAAGTCATGTTTGATATTGATGCCAATGATGGAGCTGTTGGATAGGTTAAGGAGTCTTTGGGATGAACGATTCCCCATGTACATAGATACCGCGCTTAACCTCAATGAACTATACGAGTCAAAGTAAACTCATTACTACTACTTCATAACCAAACTTCACGTATGCAAAACACTGCTTAGAATCGTATGAACAACTGCGTTGTGTTTCATCTGGTGCGTATATTGCACTCGTGCTTCTCTCTATTAGAGTAGCCCATCATCTACTTTGGACAAGAGACTACAAAGTGGGAGGCGAGAAGAAAAAAGGGAATAACGCTTTTTGTAAGCCCCGTCAAACGTGTATCCATCATGTCGGATCACGCCAAAGAAAACGCCGAGAATGTACACTGCAAAACAAACCAGAACAGGGATCGACCCAAGTACAAGAGCTGCTGTACCTATCAGCTCAGTCGATCACCCGTCTGCAGAGACGAAGCAAAGATGACTGCCTTCAATCGTAAGCCATGCCATGGATCATGGGAGGCCTCGCTATCGTCGGACGCAACTGATCAAGAGTTACCTTCGGGCGAAGCGGCTGGGTCTATTAACTCTCATGGGCAGGGCGTAGGGGAAAGCACACCTCATCTGCGTAAACATAGTCAGTAACAATCCGAGACAAATACAAGACATCAATACATACCAAAATCCCGTCGCACACCTAGAAACGACTTCGGTGATTAGGTTTTGCTGGCGTAAGGGGGAGAGCGGTGGAGGGCTCCTCGATCTGTTTCGCACTGTATCAAACGCCAAATGTTAGCAAGCACAATGAAATAATAAGAAGTTGGTGCATTACGTTTGGCTGGCAGTCATGCAAATGCAAAAAAAAGACGGTATACGATAAAAACTAGTCAAAAAAAGGGACAGGGGATGCTAGGGTAAGACAATAGAAAGCCTCCAAACTGAAGCTTGACGTAACGTGGCTCTGCGGACGATGCCTAGCGCAAGTCTATTTGCGCTGGCGTTTGCTTGCTGCAATGTGAGGCTCGTCTGTTCGTTTCTAATGGGCAGGAGTTTGGGAGTGGGCTCTTTGAACAGATGATACATACCCGTTTACTTCTTTATCCAGCTGCATGTACTCTTCGACTGCATTCTTGCCGCCCCGATTCAGGAGATAGGCCATGTAATAGTGTGACAACTCTTTCGACGTCTCAGCAGAGAAGCGACCTTTGGTGCGCATCAGCTCGTGAGCCGCCTTGATCCGAGCATGCGCCGCTTCTTGGCTGGGAGAAGGCTGTGCAATTTCGAATTCCAAGTACTTCATCCAGAACTCACGCGAGTCTAGGAATCGCTCATGCTTGTCCTTGAAGACTTGACGAGCTTCGCTGATGCTGCTCTTGCACTGCCAGAGAATACGTGCTTGCTCAGCTGCGAGTATGCCGCCAATCTGGTTATTGGAACGGTCAATGTACTGCTCTAGAAGGCGGACAGCCGCGTCATTGCCTTCGTGCCGTCGCTCTAGACCTGCAAGGGAGATGAGAGTCTCGGTGTGCTCTGGTGCCTCCTCGAGCATAGCCAGGTAGATATCACGAGCGACAGATGTTCGACCGAGTTTCTCTTCGAAACGAGCCCAGTTGAGGCGTATGGCGGGGGCTGAGATGGGCACAAAAATACAGCTGGCTCGCATGTAGATGATCCTTGCATTCTCCTCTTTGCCCTGGGCAAACATCCAGCGGGCATATCGCAGCCAGAATTCGTCGTACAAAGCACATGCGACCAAGCAGCGCTCATACAGGAACGCGATACGCTCAAAGTCACCCTGCTTCTCTTCGTAATCTAGATACTTGCGCCAATTCTCAAGCTCGGACTCTTCGAGCTCGGTGACGTGGAAGTAGGCCCTCTTGATGGCATGCTCATAGGTCCAGCGGTTGGTAACATCCTGCTGTGTCTTTGAGTACGAGCCGTAGTACCATTCAGTTATCTTGGCGCGCAGCTGCCGCTCAATCTCAAGCGCTGGCTTGTCAGGTTGTCCCTGATTCTCGAGCTGAACCGCGGCTTTCAGCTTTTCGAGTGTTCCGGGACTGGCCAACTCTTCTACTGGACGGTTGGAGAGAAGGACGGAGAATTTCTCATAGTACCGAGAAAACTGGTAGATGGGTATGTGCAAAACACGGCTGTAGATTTTGGTAACATTGGCTGGCTCTTGGATACGCTCCTCGAATTCGATATACTTGTCCCAGAATGGGTGGCTCTGGAAATCCAGACCGACAAAGTGAGCACCTCGCTCGAATAGCCTGCTGAGTTAGCATTGAAAGATCTGAATAAGGAGAGTACGACGAGGAGAGAATGAAAGGGGACGATCTTGAAAAGTAACTTAGTGTGCCAACAAAAGGATGGTAAGGCTATCGAACTTCGTCCTTCCAGGGTCTTGGGCAACTCTTTCGCGGGGGCAGAGTGTGAACGGGGTGGAGAGGGGAGGGCAACGGGATGATGGGACATGTAAACATGTAGCGCCCGAGCGCGCCCGAGCCCACCGCTGGCTACGGCGATTTGAGCCTCGGAATCGGGAGGAGGGAAGCGGGGCAAAGACAGGACTCACTCTCGGATGATGTCGTTGTCGTGCGACGTATCCATCTTGAAGCTGCAGTAGTTGGCCCACAAGTCTACTGAAGTAGTGATGCACGAGACACCACGCTCATATACCATCTCGGCAGTTTCTGTACCGCCAATCGAGAACTCGAGGTCGGCATACTTCTTCCAGTAACCGAAGAACAGCGGAAACTTGGTAAGAAAGCAATCGTAGACGTTGCGGACAAGCTCGATGGTCGAGGGACTGGAGTTGCGGGTGACGCCGCCTTCAAGCTCGGAGGCGCGAGTGACGAGTGCTTCCCATTTGTCGAAATCATCTTCACTCTCCACCTATATGTGCTATTAGCCAAGGTCTGTAGCGAGGCAATGGGACACTCACCACAGCGCTGAGGAGCTTGTTGATTTCACCTGCAGCCTCTTCCCCGGTGTAGTGCACCTGGGCAATGCTGCCGCGCCCAGTGGCCAACATGATGGCGCGTCTCGGGCTCCGTGCAGAAGACTGTGTGTACGAATTAGTTATGGTATTTATGCGACTGCGTGCAACAGCGTGGTGGTGATGCGGCGACGACGACGGCGGCGAGAGGTTCGTGTGTGGTTGTCGAGAGGTTTGCGAGAGGTTTGCGACAGTCGTACCGTAGAAGCCGCGCTCGAGTTCGCGTCGGCGAATCCACTTTCGTCAGCGCCGAAGCTTGCAGGCGCCAAGCCTAGCGTTTGCCCAAACCAAGCGGCAGCCTGGTGGGCAACCAATAGCAAGAGGGCAACGCGGCTGCAACTATGGATTTTATTCATCGTGTATTCACCTATCTAGGATCTTACAAAATAGCCAACAAGGCCGCCAAGGTATCACGCCAAACAAGAGGGCTACGGGTGCCTCTCCATTCAAGACAGAATTCCAGACCCCAAGACTCCGGCACAACAGTAGAATCCATCCATGTGCTCACGCAGCACTCTCTTCTTTCAAAAAAGGTGCCGTGTCACTGGCTGAAAACGAGAAGGGACTCTTGCCTACTTCCGGGCTCCGTGGGCTGATAGGCAACGCGAAGAGTCCATCGTCCTTATCGTCGTCGTCTGCAGACCCCAGTGGACCTCGAGATTGAAAAATGGGCGCTGGGCCAGACAAGGCGTTTAACGAGCCCATGCCAGCACTCTGCTGTTCTGTGATAAACTGTGGAGGTGCCTGTGCTGCGATTCTCCGAGGTGGATCTATTGGCTGAACCTGAGGTGGTTGCGGTGGCTTTGCCGCAAGGCTAGCTGGATTTGCGCCCTTGAAGACCGCAAAAGAACTAATGGCAATGTCTGAAGATTCGGGCGATAGGGGGTTGGAGAAGCCCGGCGTGCTATTGCTGGGTGAGAGGTCCTTTTCACTCGTGCCTAGTCGCAGTCCTGCCAGCTTGTCCATGAGGCGGCCCCCGCCAGGAGACCGTGGGCTAGAGGGCGCCTTCATCGGTGCCAGCACGGGCTCGCCAAGTGAGATACTTAGGCCTGCGGGTTTGGCATTGACTCCGAATGTTGACTCAATCCATTCCTTCTCTTGCACGGCCATAAGCAGGCCGACGCCCTCGACGTTTGTACGTGACTCTGCTTCAATCTCCTTCTGTAGCACCTGCAGCCTTTTCTTTGCCCAAATGGTGTGCAGGACACCCTTCTTGCCCGCTGCCCGCGCCGACGCCCCTAGCTCTGGCGGAAACAATGCCGGAAGGGGATTTGTATGCCAGACAACAGGAGCCCTGGTACCGTCTTGCGGTTGTAGCGTGAGTGTAACGCTGGTGGGTACCGCGACGCCCGGGGGTAGCAGAAAGTACATGCGATGCACGTCGTTGGCCGACTGGTCGTTGGCGGGCAGGACCCGTGTGCTGCCATCCCATGAGATGTGCCAGTCTCCCCGCACTCCCCGCGTTGTGTCGTCGTCCTCCCACTCGACCATTAGGATCTTGGTGCCCGTGGTGGCATTTGCGTGGCCCGCCTCGTACTCGTAGCGGGCAAGCGCATTTGCGCTGGAGATGCTCGGCGACTCAACCTCATCCTTGGTCAGCTGTCGCGTGGTGGTGTCGACGGAAGTAAACGGAACCGTGGCCGGGGACGCCATTGGGAACAGGTCGAGTGTAGATGTCGTGGAGCGCGATAGTTACGTGCGGGACGATGCGTCTACCGGCGTGTATACAAGTGGGTGGGGGTGGTATACGGGTCTAGGTGGTAATAACGGCGACGGCAAAATGACAATCATCCAAAGGCCCGTGTTCGACGTCGAGGGCAATGCAACACACAGTCGACGGCAGGCTAGACACACCCCGCCACGACCTTGCTCTGGCTGGGATGGCAGTCTGGCGATGTCTCGCTGACTGTCTGATGCTGGCCGTACGCGTTAGCCTGCAGCTTCGCAGTCCGGCCGATGTTCGTACACTAATTTTAGACGTCGACGCCGGCCACTTCTCCACGGCTCCTAGCCACGGGAACCAGCGACTGCCGCGCCACATGCGGAGAGCTGCGTGCTACTCTTGTCAGCCAATCACGTGTGCATATGCATCATTGAGGCACGGCGCTGCCTGAGCGTATCGCTCGTTTCAACTTCATTTCCTCTCCTATGGGCCTCACTCTAGAGCCCCGTTGCTACACTACTATCCATGTATCTACCTACATATACACGCGCCGGCCGCTGGGGTGCTGCGCTAGCTTCCCCCACGCAGCCTTTGGCCCCTCCATGTTCTCTTCCTCACCCTCCCTCACCCCCTTCCCTTCTCCGTTCCCCCCTTTCCATGTACGGTTTCTCGGGGAGGTAACCAGACCACACCGAATCCAGCCGTGATCTCGTTAATAGTTGAAAAAAAAAAATAGAAACACCCTTTCCTCCTAACGACATCCAGTCGATGCTACTGCGCCGTGTGAATGCTGCCTTTGCTCCTTAGAGCCATTGGTATCCAAAATTACAAAAGTGGGTATCGTGTAGAATAAAATATATGCAAAGAAACAAGCAAATCGCTTTGGTAAAAGTTGCTGCAAGAAGAGCCAGGGCCCGGACGAGAAGAGAATGTAAGTTGGCAAAAAGGGGGGACACACACACAAGACCAGGATGCATACCAGCAGAAGAAGCGACCGCTCAGATGAGCAAAAAGTCCCAGTTCTTCTGTCGCATCATGTCCCGCCAGTGAACACTCTGTGTGTTGCCCTTTGCCAGGTTGTCGTCGTTGGCCTTCCACACTTCGTGGAGAAGATTTTTGACTCTTCCATACGATCCAAAGTTTGCCGCCTCGCCCAGCATGGCAGAGCGATCAGCAAACATTTTGCGGAATCCAGACTGTGGCACCGAGATGGAGCCAGCGACCAAAAGTGGCCAAATCAGAGAACGGTCAAAGCCGTCAGGGCCAGCGGGGATATACTCCATGGCCTTGCAGAGAGCACTCACCAGGTTGACAAAGGTGGGTGATGTGCGGTCAAAGTCAGGCACTAGGCTGCAAAGGTAGATGCGGGCGGCTAGACGGTACACTGCAGTCATGTTGCGGCGAAGCTGCCGTGGGAGAATCTCACCAGTAGACGAGTAGGCGCTGTTGAGCGAACCCTGGGGCGGCTCGGTCAAGCTAATCTGCTCGCCAAGGAGCTTGATGTGAGCGCAAAGCTGCACGATATCCATGTTCTCATTCTTGAGCGCTTCGAGGCAGGCGATTTCCGAAATGAGATACATGATGCGGTCTTCGCATCCCATGAGTTCTGCGAGGCCGGAAGACGCATCTGCAATAAGCTTCTCCCGGTAAGTGTCAGCGAATGATGGCGTCCTGCCCAGCATCGTAGCGCCGAGGATGTCGATCCAGGACGCCAGTGTCATGTTGAAGGGTGGCTGAGCGTGTGCCTGGCCGTTCAGTGCAATCATCTGTGCAGGAAGCTCCAGCCTGTGAACAAGGTTCTGGACGGCTTCAAAGTGGCCATGCCATGGGATGTCCATCAGACCGTCGTTGAATCGACCGACTGAGCACTGGAAAAAGATCATGCCGAGCGCAGCCTCGAGGGTCTGGCCGTGGTTGCTGTCACTGTAGAGCGCAGCGGTGAGCTGCTGGACGGTCTCACCGCGGTGTCGCTGAATGTCTAGGTCAATCTGCTCTCCAGTGAGCCCCTGAGTGGTCTTCATGTGTAGTGCGGATATGCTCATGCAGCAGTGTAGATATGCCTTGTTGGTCTCGAGTGCTGGGATGATGACATCGCGCTGCGCTGCGCCAGGTTGGTTGGTTTCCAGGACAGGAAAGGCAGAGGGCATGATGTTCTCCAAAAAGTGGCTGAGCAGGTGGCGGTCGCAATCATCCACTTGAATGGATGGCTGGTGTGATGGACTGAAAGTGCCATACGTGTTGTAGTCAAAGATGGGGAAATCAAGGGGCTCCTCTGTAAACGATTCGCGGCGCTCAAAGTAGTCTTGTTGAATCCAGTTGTCTGAGGGGTATGCTGGAGGTGTTTGGTAGTGGCTGTAGGAGGAGATGGTAGAATCGCGTCGAGTTGGGATGTCGTTGATGAACATCTGGCTCTCGGTCTTGATGTCAATGTCGTATGGGACATAGTGTCCTGGGTGGGCGAAGCTGGGGGGGAAGCTGGGTGGAGGCATTGTGGAGTTGTAGAAGTCGATTGTGGTAGGGGCTGGGTTGAAGTTGTAGTCGAGCGAGTTCTGCGAATCGACAGAAGGCGCTCTTGTGCAGCTGACACCGTCTGAGAATGTGTCGGCAGTCTGCATGGAGTGGCAGAGGCTTGGTGGAGTGTTTGTGCCCATGGCAGCGCCCTGTGCAGTCTTCTCATTGAGCTTTGTGCGCTTGATGATGTTTTTGATGAGTTCTTTCTGGTTGCGCCTCTGCTCGTTGTTGCTCCACCACATGGGCCTCTTATATTCACACTTGAGACCAAGGTGTTTACAGGCGCGACAGGATGGTTTTCCTTCGTCGCACTTCTTGCGTCGCAGGCGGCATGTGAAGCACCCTGCACAAGATCCGTTAGCCAGCCTGTTCAAGTCCATGCGCGGGATCCCTGCATAGGAAAAAAAACAAAAGGCAGAGGGTATATGTTACCTGTTCGTGAGCGACGGTGCATTTTTGCAGCGGCTTGCTTTGCTGCGTTAGCAGCAGCAGTGGTAGCGCCTACCATGGTTGTGGAGTGTTTGGTAGTAGATGTGGGAGCGGACGAGGAGGACATGGACGCTCGAGGTACCCAGAGCGGTGGTATATGAGGCAAGCCAGTTAAACGATGCGGCAATAACGACTAAGGCACGACGGGACGATTCGTAAGGGACAGGATGGCAGGGCTCGACCGGGCTGCTCGTAATTAAAGATGGGCATTCAAAGCTCGACCAGCGGGCTTGATGTGAAGGAAGGAGCGGAACCAAATTATGCGGACTACCTATTTGCGTGGAGGGTTATTAGTGAGCGACAAGTACCTTATATCTGCCAGGAACGGCACAATGGTCACAAATACTGCTGAATCTATTCTTGGACTTGCAGTTATCTCGAGGGGCGGGCGACCAACGGGAGGGAATTGCGAACGTGGTACAGCACATGGCACTGGCACGCTGATTGGGCAGACTAGTCTGGCCATGCAGCCTGATGTCGACATTTGGGGGCATTTTGTGTTGCCAGCTATTTTGGGGCTTACTTACCCGCCGCGCTTGAGCCAGCTGCAGGCCATAGCGTCCATCTCTCCACGGCTATCGATCGGCTCACTGGCCCCCGCAACCAGTCTGGTAAGTAAATTGTCCCGTTTGGGCGACTCGGCCCTTAGAGGCATACGCCCATGTCGACGTGAGAGTTTTCGCAGCCAGGGGGGTCGGGTGCGTTAGTCTCTTCTTGTCCCAACCTCCCTGCGGGGCACTATCGACGAGTGGCATCATTCCAGAGCCGTCTAGGGAAAACACTTGCAGCGGCTGCGATAAGTGGCCGGCCCGGACGTTACTGGTGGCCTTGTGCAGATGCGCAGATCACGGGATGCAATGCGCCCGGTCTGTGTACAAGCAAGCACGGCACCTGCTGGTAGCTGTCCTCGTGCCAGCGGGGGAGCATGAGTGCGTGCGTGCGTGCGTGTATGCGTGTATGTACGTATGTGCGTATGTGCGTGTGCAAGCGAAGCGACGAGGGAGGGAGTCACTGGCCCTCAACGGCCACGTTGGCCACAGCCAGTCGACAAACGGAGCTGGCAGTTGAGGCTGTTGTGATCATTTCCACCGCGGGACCTGCCCAGCTAGAAGCTAGGCGGACGAAAAAGGCATACGGCAGTGTTGGCCAAACACGGCAGGTCGGTTGGCGATGTTTTTTTCCCGAGCTACGCGGGCAACGACGAGGGAGTGGTGTAACGCAGCGGAGTGGCATAGCACAAGATGGGCGGCGGCATCCAGTCAGCGTGCGCTCCCACGCAAAACAAGTCGCTTGTGCATGTTGCTCGAGGTGAAATTGCGAGAGAAGCTTTTGCTAGCGGTCGACGAGGGCCAATGACGGGGCCGAGGATGCTAGCTTACGCTGCGGGGCAATGGAGCGACATGCTGGGCTGCTGGGGCGGACGACAGGGGAGTCGAGGTAGTGGTCGTCGTGGTAGGTAGCAGTAGTACTCTAGCGGTGGTGGTGGTGGTATAGTGTGTGTGTATGGGAGCGTGCTATGAATAGGCCGTTAATTAGGCTGAGCCGGGTCGAGGAATTGCCCATAATTAGGGCGACGGCCCAAAGTGGGTGGCATGGCGAAGGCAGGCGAGGGCAGGTGCAGGAAGCGGCGGTGATTGGTTACCGAGGGCTACAATCAATACTTGGCGGGCGACGAATGGGCCCTCGAGTACCGGGTACGTCCTCGGTCGCAGTCGGACAGACCAGGCCCTTACTCACCTGACTGCGCGGAACTGATGCTCAAAGGCCATTCTCTCCCGCTGCAAAGGCGCTACTTGCTGGTCCCTGGTTTTTGGTAAATGATGCCTGTCTCGTTTGCGTCTTGTTGGGCATCTAGTGTGCCCATTAATTGTCATCGCACGCTTGGTCGCCCTCTAGACACGACTCAAACCTCTGCTCGCTCGTCTCTGCGGCACGCCTTCGGTCATCACCATGGGATCCGCCAAGCTGGCCAAATTACGAGCGCCGTTGCACAAAGCCGTTCCCAGTAGGTTCCTTTGCCCGACTATCAGAGGTGGATCTTTTTTTCTTTTTTCTCTGCTTGGCGCGGTTCGTAGAGAAAACGCTTGGGATAATGCTTGCATTTGCACAAGTTGCGGTCTGCATGGCTCCTTGCTCGAACCCCATTTCTCCACGCTGATTCGCCTTGTCACAACGACGCTTCGCCAGTCCATTGTCGCAGCGGAGCACACCAGAGAATGGCGACTCGGCTGGCCGCAGGGTCTTGGAGTCACGGGCTCGTCGTGTGGGTGCTTCTCTGGGCGACCGTTGGCCGCCACTGTGGGAGAGGGTTTCATGGTGGGTAGGTAGTCGCAGTCACGAGGGTGTGGTAGTACCAGCGGTCTGACACATGGCTGGCAACGGTAGCAGACTGCCGGCAGCGGCGACGCCCAGGCAAGAAGACAGACAAAAGTCGAGGTAGTAGGTCCGACGAGCACCACAGTTTGCCCGGCCAGACGACGACTATGACGACAGGACTGCTTGTCGAGTCGACCTGGACTCTGCTCTGTGGCGTCACGGGCTGCACGCAACCGCTCAAGCACGGAACGCAGCCGCATGTGATGTGTTTGTGCCAATATCGCATTACTGCATGGCGCTGATGAGGCTGTCGGCTCACACACGTCAACCGTCCGAACCGAAGCTCCACCGACCGATCATGACATGGATGGCCGTTGTCACATTGTGCTTTGTCAGAAAAGCGCGGTATATGTATGTACTTGGGTAGTAGTGTACATACAGGGACATGTATGTATGTATGTATGTATGTATGTATGTATGTATGTAAGTATGAGTCTACATGTGAATGTATACTACACAGCCGCATATAGACCTGTCTGTGCACATAGTTTGATACGTAGTAGTAATAGTAGTAGTAGCTTGCTGGCGGCCAGCGTCACACTGGCGGGCAAGGTGAGGCGGTGGGCGTGGTGCTGGCAGTTGCTGGCAGTGGCAGTGGCAGTGGCAGTGGCCCAGAGCATGTCCGAGGTACGTACCTTGAGGCTGCGCACAGGACGCCAGACAGCCAACAGTATGCGTGCACGCCATGGCTCAACCTCAGATCTTCGCTGCATCTGCGCGCGACTGGCGGCGACACGATCCGCTGCCGTCGGCCCTCGCTGTGAGTGGATCCGCGGCGACCCTGACTTGGCCGGCCGGGCGTAGGTGCGTGCGTGTGTGCGTGTGCGTGTGGCCGTGGCCGTGATGACGGCCGTGGTGGTGGTGATATTAATGGCATTTGCCTGTCCCTTTTCGGCACTATTAGCCCGTGGCCCAATCTGCGGGCTGGCCAATCAGCGCCCCATCCGCCCTCGCAGCAGTCTACACTAAGCGCCAGCCTGTCTGCTGCCCACTATGCCTGGCGACGACTCGACCTCGCTCAGTGGCCGCTGTCGACAGGCATACGCTGTCTCATGCAGTCTCTGCTGTGTGATATGGGCCAAACTCGCCCGCCCCCCACCGCCAACGGCGCCCAAGCACTCTCTACAAAAGACTTGCAAGCGCTCTCCACCCGGAGGGTCCTGTTTCCCGTTTTCGATCATCTTGTGCTGCCGCTGCCCTACTGTGCTTTGCTTTGCTTTGCTTTGCTTTGCTTCAGCGTATGCCATGCTCGCCACACTCCATCCCATTACCCCCTAGCCCTCTCTCGCAAACTCGCAGCTCCTACTCTTGAGCGTGTGTGCGCCCACTCACATCGTGATCATGGTAAGCTACTCTCGGCACTCGCCTCCTCCATCCACCCCAATGCTAACACCCCCATAGCAGGCCATGACACCCATCACCCCGCTAGAGCCGGGCATGGAAATGTTTGAAAGGGGAAAAGCATCATCCCTCTTCTCCGCTGCTCTAGCGGCCCGCTCCTCGCTCGAGCGTCCGCTTTCTCACATCAGCGTTGCCTATACCGACATTGAAGACGACTCAAGCGAATTCGAGGAGTTCGGCGGCTCTTCTGTGCGTGTCCGTGTTCCGCTGAGTCTGTGCGTCGGTGCTAACAGCCTCCAGAGCGACAACCGACGAAGTCAAACAACAATATCAACTTTTGAAGAAGTGACTACCCCAGGAGAAGACATCCGACCACAGTTTGCTTTCTGGCCAGAAATAAAGCCAGTAGAAGGCCCAAAGGGTCCACATCTGTTTCGTGCTTCGCAGTCCTCGAACGAGTTCCCATACGATGATGCGCTGCAACTGTCTCCCCTGCTACCAAAGCAAACACCACTTCGCCAACAAACAGCATTCCGCGAAGCAACTCCAGAAACCATTGTGCCTCAAAAAGAGTACAACAACATCGCCCTTGCCGTAGCCCACCTTGACAATGCCGAAGTGCGTGCCTGGACTTCTCAAGATGTGGCTACCTGGATGTACCAGAATGGATTTGAAGACGACATCATTGACAAGTTCATCGGACACGACATCACCGGCGCCGTCCTCCTGGATATGCAGTTTGATGATCTAAAAGAGTTGGAGATCCAGTCCTTTGGCAAAAGACATCAGCTATGGAATCAGATCGACTCGCTCCGCACCGCAGAAGGTCTCATCTCTCCAACCGCGCCTGCCGCCATCCCAACCCCGTTTGAAGACATCGAACGCCCTTGCAAAGAGGCAAGAAACAGATCAAAGAGCAAGGGTCGGAAAGCCAGTCGCCGTGACAAGTCGCGCGGCCGCAATCTAGGAGACGATCTCATCACGCCTGCGCACTCCGTCTCGATTGTCGCGATTGAACAGCTACTGCCCAAGCCTCACGTGTGCGCAAAGGGTGAACGGTGCTCCAAGTGGAAGAAGCAACAAAGACAGCTCGCCAGACTCCAGCAGGAACACGGCTTTCCCATCTCTCCCGAAAAGGGTGGCCACATCTTCATTGCCGGCGATCCCGGCAACGCCCAAACTGCAAGCCATGCTGTCGAGAACGTCCACCGCCCCAACTCAGAATCTGCACCGTCGGTTGTGGTCCCGTCTGTGGTTGCATCGTCCGACGTGCTAGGTCCTGGCCAGCTACCAGACTTCTCC